ATTATAGTCTTGACGACCGGAAGTGATGGCAGACACATTTCATCCTATATCTGTTACCCAATCTTCATGATTTATTATTTATATAAGTTTAGTGACTTGATCTGTTACACTGTAAGAGATCTCGTAATGTTAACTTCTCATTTTGAAGAGAAGAAATCACATGACCGGAAGTAGATTTTTAAAATAAAGGTATTTGAGGTTACTTTAGACATTTCAGTCTGAATAACATGTCCTGAAATCATTTCAAATACTCTTTTTTATAAAAGATATTTATGGCAAAGAATGATACTAAATTTATGCAGTTTTTCTCTCATAACCGTCATTTTTGTTTCCAGCGGGACTGACATATTTCATAATTACTAATAAGATGCTATAATATATTACTAAGAAATATTCCGTAATGAAAAGTTAATTTTTCTTATTTATTTGATCACTTCCTGTGACAACGGGAAGTGACGGCGAAAAATATTAACCCAAATGGATTTGGCTACTCATCAAGATCTACCACTCCTATAAGTTTGGTGTCTTCACCACTTACTGTTTACGAGATCTCTCTGTGATAACTTCTCATCTTAAGGACAGGAAATCACGCGACCAGAAGTAATTTCAAAAAGATAGTTGAACTTACTGTAGACATTTGCATTCTGAATAACATATCCAAAAATTATTACAAATACATTATCCATTAAAAGTATTTACGGGAAAGAAAAAATACTCAAATTATGTAGTTTTTCTCTTATAACCGGAAGTTGTCGTTTTTGTTTACAGTGGGACTGATATATTTCGAAACTACGAATAAGATGTTATAATGTGATGCAAAAAAACATTCATAAAAGAAAAGTTAAAATTTTTGATTTCTTAGATCACTTCCTGTTACTACCGGAAGTGACCGCGGAGAATCTTAACCCAAATAGTTTTGCCTACTCATCAAGATCTACAACTCCTATAAGTTTGGTGTCTTCATCTTTTACCGTTTACGAGATCTCTCTATGATAACTTCTCATTTTGAGGACAGGAAATCACGAAACTGGAAGTGAATTTTACAAAGAAATTTGACGTTACTGTAGACATTTGCAGTCTGAATAAAATATCCAAAAATCATTACAAATACTTCATGTATAAAAAATATTTATGGGAAAGAAAAATACTGAAAATATGCAGTTTTTCTCTTACAACCGGAAGTTGTCGTTTTTGTTTCCGGTGGGACTGACATATTTCAACACTACATGTAAGATGCTATAATGTGATGCAAAAAAAGTTTTAAAAAAGAAAAGTTGAAATTTTCGATATTTATGAACACTTCCTGTGACGACCGGAAGTGACGGCGGACAACCTTAACCCAAATGGATTTGCCTACTTATCAAGATCTATCATCCCTGTAAGTTTGGTGCCTTAATCTCTTACCGTTTCTGAGATCTCACTCGGATTAGATATTTTTTAAAAACCAGGAAATCGGACAAATCTGACGACCGGAAGTAAATTTTGAAAAAATGAAAAAAACGTCTCGGGGTATTTTCATTCCCTATCATCCCTGAAAATTTCAGGAAAATCCGTCCAGACATCTCTGAGAAATCCTGCCGACAAGATTTGGGAAAAAAAATAATAAGAAGAAGAAAAAACAGTAGAATCACTATAAGGTCTTCCGTCTGAAACGGAAGACCTTAATAAGAAACCGAGTAAAAACAATATGTTCCCAAACTCCGTTTGGGGAACATAATAATGAAATAATAATTGGTATGAAAAACGTCAGTTAGCATTTGATCCAATGATAAATTGTATTTGCTGACAAGGTCATTGTATCGACCACAGAACTTACGAAATGATGACTTTAAACTGGACTGCTGATATTCTTGTTTCATCAACTTCGAAATCCTTGTCAATAATTTACCTCGTTTTAGAAATTGTTCATAAATAGAGCGTGCTCTTGCGTATCGAATCAACTGAGATATGTACACTCCGTATGCAGGTGATGAAGGTATATAGATAACAGTTTTAATTATTTTTTAGTGTTTCTAACAAAACCGTCCATGTAGTTTTTAGTATACATACGAGGTAAGATATTGGGATAAAACGCATTCATGCATAATCATCTCTTTTCTTCACTTTTACGCCTTTACTTATGCCCATTTGAACTCTGCATAGTTATTATTCGCCCCTCATGAAGTCCGTGATATTTTAAAACTATATGCAGACTACACGATAAACATTTTTGTGAGATGGATCTGTACACATGGAATTTAAGCATCATTGGATGAAAATCGGATGGCTAAGCAAAATTATATTTACCAGCCTATAGTATATTCTGGTAAATAGTGGTAGTATTCATAAGAATTCCTTAATATGATTGTAATCCTAATTTTCAATCAGAATATCAGAATAAAAAAATAAAACATCTCTTTAATTTCAAGGTCAAAGAACTTGGGCGTACAATCAATTTTTTTCTATCCAATTTTGCTTATGAACACAAAAGGGCAAAATGGACAAACTCTCCCCTTTCTTTTTCAATAGACCACTGCCTAAGACTATACAATAAGAATAAACTTAAATTTTGAGCATCTTGAGTTTTATTTTTCATACATGTTCTACTTTTGCATAATTTTAAATACAAAACGCATGATAAAAGATTTAATAGTTTTTTTTCAAAATTAGTTTAGAAAATACATGTATACTCATTTGAAAATTTTACTTAAGATCGTTATTTTTAAGCTAGAATTGCATTAATGTTTTCGTTTCACATGACAAAGTTTGTGACAAGGTAAGCTTTGTCATTAAGGTTTATTATTACAACTGCTTTTAGAAGAATTTAGTTTATTCCTCATGAGGTTATCTAAAATATACACTTTTGTTACAGAAATGTAATGTTACAGAAATGTAAATGGTGTCGATTGTATCAAGTTAGCACAATTTTATTTTTTCCTGGAGAACAAAGAAAAAATGCAAAATATAGTTCGTTTAACTGAGGCAATTCTCAATTTTGATTCAGGTTTTGACCCATAAAAAAATATTGTAAAAGAAATATATATATATAACTGATTTTTAGAATAGGCAAAATATTGAAAACTGGGTTATTGAGTTATATTTTATGTAACAAAAAATCCACCTTGGAAACCCATCTCTACATTGAAAGTTATTCGTGCATGCAGCACTTCCTGATGCATTGTGGCCACACTGTTACACGGAGAAGGACAATCTTCAATGTTAGTATAAGAAAAACTTTCATTTCATCAAAATGTTCTGAACCATAATTATTCACGAACATTTGAACATTTTCCATTTTTTCAGTTTTGATTTACATTTGAATCGGGCGGAAAAGGTTAAATTTTGCAAGAAAACTGGAATGGAGAACTACTATTAGTAAGTACGCTTGTGAAGATAATCTGTGACTAGAAAATATCCTTTTTATCTTCCGTTAATGAATATCTTGACAGTCAGTTGGAGAGTGTATTTATCATAAATGAAGTTAATAGAAACTACATAAATTATCATTTTGCAGTGGAATCGGAGTTGGAATCCTCCTAATTAAGTTGTTGCTTTGTATGTGCATCTGTGGCATTCGCGCTAACAGAAGAGAACACCAGCGAACATATCGCCGATATATTCTGACAGTCCCAGGAAGAGGCCAGATTCTCAGTGTACCGAATACCGGACAAACGCAAGACAATGTGAGTAATAAACCTAAAATATTGATAAAAAGTTTATTTTTAGAAAAAAGTTTTAGATAAATCTACTATTCTAATCCTTTCAACCAAGGTTTTCTTTTCTTTTTCTTTAAAAAAAAAACGCCCTGTTTTTACGCTTAGTATTAGATCTATGTCGTGGTTAAAAAAATATTTTATTCCATCAAAAGGTCTACAGGAAACTATTTGTGCAATAGCAATTTTTTTCCAGATTTAAAAGTTTTCATCATTACAAGTATATACATATTATTTTTAACTTTTAGGACAGGGCATCGATTGTGAAAAACGAGGAGATACCACAAGCATATCCCCCCGGGATGCCTCCCCCATATACGTATGCAGATCTCCCCAACCTCAATAGTGGACAACCCTCAAGAGTTGTCTGAGGACCATATAATGTTAACAGACACATAGAATCTCTATATTTATTACCTCACTATATTTACTCACAAAAAATATATTTGGGCAAGAATTAGATTCATCCCTTATAATTTTATTTTAAATTCATTAGTCAACTATGGGTGTAAAATTGCGTTACTTTTTATGAGTTCAAATTTGCCGCTCAATAGAACAATGGTAGTGACGGAAGTGGTGGGAAGTGAGATGCCTAGTGATGTGATATGTGCACCTCTTTCTGATGCATTATATTTCTGACATATAATAAAGGACTGTTTTCATGAAGAAATGAAGTTAACATTTTATTTCATGTATATTATACTTTGTTGACATGCGCATTGTTTCTACAAGACATATTTAGAGGATGGTGTTTTTTTTCAAACATTTACTTATTTAACTAAAGATAAATACACCACTTTCATAAAGTATTATTTATGTAATTATCATCATAAAGAAAATAAATGGTACTCATACTTTTCATTTAATATGAAATTTTTGTTTACATGTTTACTGTTCATTTAACTATTTACATTCTATAACTGGCATAGAGATTGGACACAAATCCAAAAATCTAAATTTATTTAACTCTCATCATTTTCTGTACTCATTATACCTGGTGAGAAAGGAAACCAGGTGGGTAGATTAAAACTATTTTGAACTAGTCTGCACATGGGGAAGAAAAAAGACTGCATTGTTATAGGCTTATATACCTTCAAGTGTTGATTTCACACATAACATCTAATATTACATTATAAGGCTAGGCTATTATTTGACAATGTATGAAAAACACCAAATAGACGATCCAAAGATATTTGTCTAGTCTTATCTATTTTCCAGGGGAATTTCAAGAAAACATTTATAGGTCAATCGGAAGTGTATTTTTTTTAAAGACTCATGTGCAGAAAAAAAACTTTCTCGTGAGCAGAAGATTGATGTATTTTTGCAATATTTTCAGTCTTTTTTTCTCAAGCATTTCAAGCTTCTCAAATAAAAGTTCATTTATATAGGAATCGACTTAAGGGTCCTCAAGTTAACATCTAATTAGATTCTAAGACTTCAAGATTGTCCGTTTGATTTTCAGTTCTCTTTTGATTCTTTTCTATTCTCTTGTATTATTGAGATGACCTTTATTATGTAATAATAAATAATAATTTAGGACGACCTTCCTACTTTGGTTCATGGCGTACTGATATGATTAAATAAGATAATATAGCCAATGTTTGTGATCGCTAACACAATGTGGATTTGGAAATTGATTTACTTTGTCCTTGTGATCAATCTTAACGTTTATACATGTCAGAGCGGAGGTAAGTACGTTACTGACGGACTATTATAACTCAAACGTGGTACAAAATCCTTTTTCTTGAAATGAATGAAATTACTTACAATGATAGGTATTAGAGAATAAGTGTCATAGAAACACTTACCTACTCTGAAAGGCAAGAGTGGGTCGAACATTCAACGTAAGTCTTATTTACTGAAATATATACAAGAAATAAATCGGCACATTTGGAAAAGTTTATATTTGCCAATGTTTCAATATTAAGATTTTATTTGGTTAACTTCAAATGGAAGTTGCAAATGTATTTTAAAAGGATATTGATTACCGGAGTATTTGATTTATATGGTCTATTGAAAACAAAATGATCCGATAGACTTGCTTATTAAAATCATTTTTTAATAGCAAATCCAAAAAAAAAAATTCTAACTATGACAATTTCAGTAACTCATGCAATTCATCGAAACTATTTATTGGCATTGCATGTTATAAAACTTTAGGTATATGCATGTTAAATTTAAATAAATTAATCATATTGGAAAATTATATGTTTTAATACTTAAGTCGCTGAAAGGAACTATACAATATAAATGAAATGTATCAGGCAGATGTGTCCCTATAATTATCCAGTGTTAAACAGAAAAAGTGTAAAAAACACATATAAATGTTTGTGCACCATCAATATGCCTACAAAGAGTGAAAGTGACTGTTTAACCGTCTTTACTTGTATTCCAAATGCCTTCATCTGTAGCTCCTTAAATGTCTAATTGGTCACCTCCTCTTGAAATGTATAGAGTGATTATTTCTGTTTCTCTTACATGTGAACAGATTTTTAAGTGTAATACTATAAAAAAATTAATCAACATTGTATTTATTATCACCATTATCATTAAGTGATATCATTTTCTTATTCATAAAAACAATTGTTTTTTGTTTTTTACGTACATATAAATAAATTATATCATAGAAAAACTTTGTAAATTTTGTATAGCTATTCAGATCTTATGTATGGGAGAGGATTATCTAAATTTTTGGAACTTGTGCATTATCAATCTCTTTGACATATTGTCAATAAAATATGTTCAAAACAGTAGAATAAAATGTATACAATTTTTGCATCATTTCAATTAATAAACACCAGATTTGAACATGTAAGGAATATGAGAAAACGAGACGATTGAATTAAAAAAAAAAAGATTATTTCTACATTTAAAACTTTGATTACTGAAGTACTTTTCTCAATGCTCTCGAGATATCCTTCTTTTAAAATTCAGAATGTAAAAATAGACAAAACTGTTTTTTTTAATTACACTGTATTCCATTTTTAAAACCAATTTTGAGTGCGAAAAATATTTAACACTGTTATCATTTAAATTTAGAAAAACTTTTGTTAAGTTTAGAACCACAAATCACAACCTCCCAATTGAAACAGGTAGATGGAATGGTACTCAAAGAAATGAAAGAGTTTGTAGCTTATACAGTAGTAACCAAATAGGAGATGAGTATCATTTATTTTAGAATGTAGTGCTTTAAACCAACTAAGGAAAGTTTATTTGAACCAAAAATTTTGCTCTAATCCAAATATCATCAAGTTTTGTGAAATCATGTGCCAGAATGATGTTGATTCTTTGAAACAATTATGTACATTTATTTCTAAAATTAATAGTATTGTCTGTTCTCCTTAGTTATCACCTTCTGCTTGACCCACTGTATTATATGTATATATGTTTTATATGTTTTTGTACCTCATGTACCATTTACATGGTTTTGAGTGAATAAATTGAATCGAATTGAATTTTCCACCCTTCCCCCCAAAAAAAAAATCGTGTTAATCTTGTTTAATTAGCTACTTATTCGGATGGAAGGAAGCTTGACAGTAGATAAAATCATTGATAACTACTGGTTGTATGGTTTATATGTTCTCAGAGTGTCAAACAGTGGTTAGTGATATCCTGTTCCTCTTGGACGCCTCCGGAAGTATCGGTCAGCATGTCTATCACACTCAAATCATTCCATTCGTTCGGGATTTTATCCTTCAGCGTTCACTCACCTTGGGGCCCCTTAACACCCAGGTGGGGGTCATGAACTTTGCCGGTGGACAGCACAGTGATTTGCCCTTGAAAAATTTTCATACAAAAGCAGAATTAATAACAGAAATTCAGGTACCATTTTGCAAGAATATAAGATTTCGCATTTATTTTGAAAAGACTTTAAATTGTGCAAATTGTAATTAGTTTCCAAAAGCAGAATACTTAAGAAAACAAACAAAAATTATGCTCTCATTATGCCCCAATAATATAAGACTCGAGGGGATATTAATTTGTCAAGTCCGTCCATATGTCTGTCTGTCTGTTTTTCCATGAAAAAACTTTTGATTGGACGGAGCTATACGTTTCATATTTCACATGGTTTTTTTTCTTGAAGTAAGACCTTTCTTTTGGTACCAAGACTACTAACATATTTTATCTCTTGAATCTGACTATGTAGTTTAACCCACAATAATCATTATGACAAGGTCTTTCCTTTGTTAAAAATATGTTTTACCTTTTTCACCACGATTTAGAGTTTGAAAAACTTAAAAAGCTTTAACCTTAGTCATAATGTATGATCAAGTAGTTCAAGGGTTTTCATATTTCACAGGTGCATTTCTTGTGATAAGTCTTTCTTTGTATACCAACTTATTTGAAATTTGTTACCTGAGAGTTTTAGCTACCCTTAGAAAAATTAACCTTGACGTAATTATTTAACGGTTTGGGCTTGGGTTTTATTTTATTAAAAGATATACTCATTAAAACAAGTCCTTTTTGGGGGTAGCAATATTTTTTTAATCTCTTGAGCTTAACCTTTAAGTTTGTCTTGCATTTGAGCATTTTTTTTTTACCTTTGCCCCTTTGCTGTCAATTGGATATATCAGTGATTTACAAACACATTTTTTGATTAGAAGTAAGATTTCTTTCTCAAGACAGAAGAAAATAATTTTTTTTAAAAACAAAATGATAATGAAAATAAGTGATACAGTATTCTAATACCACCATTATTCAAATAAACAGTTTAAGTCGATTATGAGCATTTATCTATTAATATCATATTCCTTTGAAAGGTAATATTCATTAATTCAAATTAAATAATAATTAAATTTGCTTATAATGATGCATAAGTATTTTACAGTTACAATCAATGAAGATGATAATAAATAAATGAAAAATTGTAGACCTATATGTCCTATCGCGGTGGAGCGACAGACACACACAATGCCTTGACGCATGTAAGAACGCATATGTTTACAAAAGAGAACGGTGACCGACCGGCAGCGGAAAACGTTCTAATCGTCATGACAGATGGTGGGTCGTCCATTCCAGAAGAAACCATAACGGAGATCTACAAGTATGTATTTTTTAGGAAAACATTGTGTAACGCAGATAGGAGATAGGTGTTTCCATCTTCAATTACTTCATTTGCTTTAATTTTTTTTCTATAGTTCATTATTCCTCGCTATAAATTAAAATTTAGATTTCTTTTATATCACAGACAACTGCTTATTCAATGAAAAATTGACCTCGTAAATTTTCATATCTTGTGATTGTTCATCAGCAAAATTACTTCGTTAAGAACCACTCTGCTTGTCACTAACACACAAGAACTCTGAAGTTGATAATGATATTAAAAGGATGCTGGATTTCATCTTCACAACATTTCTGTACTATTTTGAAGACCAGGTCTTCCAAGAAACTGTTTGAATCAATGGGACACTAACTCTCCTGATTTATTAGCTGGCCTGTTTTTATATTCCCATGCAGTACAATTTATTCAAAAACTTCTACATGAGAAGAAGAAAATTCTTGCTATGATCTTTTATTCGACATTCATATATATCGACTATATTTTATCAATTAACAATCATATAGTTATAGACTCGATATATCCCAGTGAACTTGACACGAAGACCGTCACAGAGTCTTCAATAAAATTTTCATATTTGGTTGTTTACTGACTATATACATGATATAGACGACAAGGTCCAACAAACAAACAAACTTTATGACAAAGGAGATGACTTCAGCTTTTCCATCTTGATCTTTACTTATGTAGTAATATTTCTCTAACTTATGCTTATAGCGGTTATGTCTCCAAACTTATTGGCTAATCAAAAGATTTCCCTGAATGAGGTGAAATTTTAGAATTAAAGCATGATCAGCACTGATAAGTTGATGTTACAGAGTTTTCAACAAACTCGATTAACCTTTAAACGATTAAAGTTATGGTAGTTATTTTGACCTTGTTCGAAAACATTACCTGTCAATGATATTTGACTGGCTTTTTTCATACCAATTGTTAGGCTATTCTATTTTTTACGGAGTTTGACTACGGAATGTTTCGTGTACCTGATCAATACATAGAGGACTCACGGTGGGTGTTACTGGTAATGAAGGGATGCTTACTCCTCCTTGGCACCCGATCCCACCTCTGACGTTTCCAGGGATTCGTGTTTTATGTCCTCTTCTTATATTTTTATGGTTTATAGATTTAACTTATATCGATCACTGTTTGTAATCTTCAACTTTTCCATTTGCTGACCATAGCTATGTACATGTTTAGCATTTCAACGCTAGAATGTAACACTTTTGGTAGCCTAGTGTTTATTTCCATAAACAGCCTTAAACGCCAGAATGTTACAATCTACGTGGTGCCTGTCGGAAATTGTAAGTTGTACTGGGGCGAAATTCATACTATGGCCACCAGCTCACAACACGTGATCACCGATCTGAATCACATTGATACTTTCACAGCAGCACGATTCCTGTGGAAACAGATATGTAGGGGTAAGTCTAAAACCCCTATACCCTTATTTCTCAGGTAGATCCCCACACAAGTGCTTTTTTTAATTGTTCAGTCAATTTGTGTATTTTGACAATGAATGCGCTTTAAAAATTTTAATACATTTGATTATTATACAATAAATATTGTAACAATTCATCAAAATTTTTAATATATCACAAAACGATAATCTTGTAGGCATTTGAATATCTAATTTATTAACCCATTTTAAACTATTTTACTTGAATAAAATATTTTTAAACACTTTTCAGGAATTTCTCTCGGATTTTCTGCAATGGTTAAACAATAAATAATTCAGTAAAAAATACCCCAACTATATTATAAATACAATAAATGTTATTATTTTTAGCTGCTACAACCTTTTCCACATCCATTCCTTCGACTTCGATAAGGCCGCACAATCCTGTATTTATTCCTATAACAGCAACAGCTAATCCTCCAACACCAGCCAATCCTTCACAGCACCATGTTTTCTATACCGCCAATATCATACATCAATCGCACCGTAAGGTCTTTCTTTTATCAGTTTAAGGAGGTGTCTACAAAGACACTATTCAAACGATGTTTAAGCACAACAGTGCCTTTCAAAAATTTTCTTCAATAGTGAATACTCTAACGTTTTGCATGTACAAAGTTATAGAATATATTTCCACAAGAATATTTAACTTGAAGAATTCTTCATACTATTTGTCATTTTCAGAGATTCAAAAGGAAATTTTTCCAAAGTAATGGTACTAATTAGATTAAAGTTGACTATTTCATTTAAATACCAGGCCTGGAAGTTCATTATATATAAAAAAAAAAATTACTGTTGCCAATCATTATTTTATGCCTTCTTTTATTTCAAAATGATGAATATTTTCTTTTTGCACAAAAATCTCACCATATAAAGCCCGTCAGATGATTCTAGTAAAGTATGAAATATACTTTAACTAAAACATACACTGGGTAACCCGAATTCTTTATTTAAAAAAATTACGAATTACTAGTTACTAGTATTTTTGAAATGTTTCATATATTTCAATTTCTTCTTTTCACAAATGGAGAAGAAGTCAAATCAAGAAACAAAATGAGACAAAACAAATTGTTTTATTAAGAGGGAAAATAATTTTTTTCTAAAGTGTGTTTTATACATTGAATTCAAAATATCATCATTTTAGGTATTTTGCAAACTTATCAAAGTCCAGAGGCCCTCTTATCATGTATAGTTCTTTGGGGTTTCTTTTTCGATCTTTTTCATAAAGGAATCAAAAAACACATCGTCAATGCTATGCTTTATCTTATCCGCAACTTTTATACAGAAATATGTTCGCTTGTTTTCATGTATAATCCAAGGCCTATTAAAAAATCATTGCAAAAGAAGTCATATGACTGAACTTAAACAATCTGAAAGAGGAGTCTGAAAAGGCGTAAAATACTTTTAAACATCGGTATCTAGAACATTTTGTTTCACATGATTTTACAGTACCCTGTGTGGACGCTGATCCAGACTGTGCCACGTATCCCCCGGAAGTCTGTACAGCAAATAAAGACTGGGCCAAAGGCAGCTGTAGAAAGACGTGTGCCCTGTGTGAAGGCGAGTTAAACATAAATGAATTCATTGTATCACAACAAAAAAATAAATAGATAGATAAAAATGCATTTCACAAATTTTAAACTTAGATTATTTATTATAATACGAAACAAGTATGCTTAAAGAGGTTTACTTTTATGTTTGGTTTTCTTTTCAATGTTCAGTTTTACCTTCCACCACTAAACAACGTAAGTATTGTTTAAATGTGATTGCTATCACCTGAAATTGACCGTACTTACATCTTGGCTTTCTGTGGGATCTAATACACATGTTTGACGTGTCTCATGCTACCAACACAATAAATGGAATTTTTTTTACATTTGCAGTACTACATTCCTACTTGTAGAATTTTTGCATAAAGCTTTTTCAAACACAGCTGAATGAAATCATTTTTTACTTTACATGGCATAATTGGATATTACAGGAATAATATACAGTTTATCACAGCTGGCATTAGAGCAGCAGATCAAGACGTTCGCGTAGGTTATTATAGTAAAACCATCCAAGCATTATTTCAAAGCTTATAACCATTCAAGTATATTTTCTTGCTGCATACAATTCTTGCAAACCTTTATGTAGCTTTTGACAATTCCAGTTTCTTGTAGCTTTAATTTAACCATCCCAGCTTTGCTTTGAAGCTATTGACCATTCCAGATTTACTTTTTAGCTTTTAATCATTTCAGCTTTACTTTGTAGCTTTAATCATTCCAGCTTTATTTTGAAGCTTTTAACCATTTCAGTTTTACTTTAAACCATTCCAGCTTTACATTTTAGCTTTTAACCATTCTAGCTTTACATTGTAGCTATTAACCATTCCAGCTTTTTTCTAGCTTTAATTTAACAATTCCAGCTTTACTTTGTAGCTTTAAATACTCCAGTTTAACTTTGTAGCTACTACCCACGCTCCATTTGTGTTTGTGACACTTCCAACAAAGAAAGGTAATGACTGTATAATGCTGCTGTTATCCTTTTGTTTTAAATACTTTTTGTTAGTCATGTGCTCTATCACTATGATTCCTTCATTTACCAATGAAGTTCACACATATTTACCTATGTTACTTTTCTTTTTTAACCAGAAAGTGGCTTTTGTAATATTGTATTTATGCTAACTTTCTGTAAAATTCCTGTTTTAGTCCCTTGCTATAGATTGTGACTCTGTCTGCATAAGTACTTCCTAACTTTGACATACTTATTGTCGGTAAATTTTAGTATATTGCCTACTCACTAAATTTCTTCATCCAACTATGTCAATTTTATTGTCATGATCAGTTAATCTGTTATTTAAATACAATTCCTGGAAGTTCATTATATCTAAAAAAAATACTGTTGTCAATCATTATTTTATGCCTTCTTTTATTTCAAAATGATGAATGTTTTTCTTTTTGCACAAAAATCTCACCATATAGACCCTGTCAGATGATTCTAGCAAACTAAGAAATACAATTTAACTGAAACATACACTGGCTAACCCGAATTCGTTATTTAAAAAATTAGGAATTACTAGTTACTAGTATTTTTGATATGTTTCATATATTTTAATTTCTTCTTTTCACCAATGGTGAAGAAGTCATATCAAGAAAGAAAATGAGACAAAACAAATTGTTTTATTAAAGGGAAAAATCACTTTTTTTCTAAATTTTGTTTTATACATTGAATTCAAAATACATGTATCATCATTTTAGGTATTTTGCAAATTTATCAAATCCCAGAGGCCTTCTTATCATATATAGCTCTTTGGGGTTTCTATTTCGATCTTTTTCATGAAGGAATCCAAAAACACATCGTCAATGCTATGCTTTATCTTATCCGCAACTTGTGTAAAGAAATATTTTCGCTTGTTTTAATGTATAATCCAAAGCCTATTAAAATCATTGCAAAAGAAGTCATATGACTGAACTTAAACAATCTGAAAGAGGAGTCTGAAAAGGCGTAAAATACTTTTAAACATCGGTATCTAGAACATTTTGTTTCACATCATTTTACAGTACCCTGTGTGGACGCTGATCCAGACTGTGCTACGTATCCCCCGGAAGTCTGTACAGCTAATAAAGACTGGGCCAAAGGCAGCTGTAGAAAAACGTGTGCCCTGTGTGAAGGCAATAAATAAATAGATAAAAATGCATTTCACAAATTTTAAACTTAGATTATATATTATAATACGAAACAAGTATGATTAAAGAGGTTTACTTTTATGTTTGGTTTTCTTTTCAATTTACAGTTTTACCTTCCACCACTAAACAACGTAAGTATTGTTTAAATGTGATTGCTATCACCTAAAATTGACCATACTTACATCAATGCTTTCTGTGTGATCTTATACACATGTTTGACGTGTTTCATGCTACCAGCACAAAAAATGGAATTGTTCAACATTTGCAGTACTACATTCCTACTTGTAGAATTTTTGCATATAGCTTTATCAAACACAGCTTAATGAAATTTATTTTTTATTTTACATGGCATAATTGAATATTACAGGAATAATATACAGTTTATCACAGTTAGCATTATAACAACAGATCAAGACGTTCGCGTAGGTTATTATAGTAAAACCATCCAAGCATTAAAGCTTATAACCATTCAAGTATATTTTCTTGCTGCATACAATTCTTGCAAACCTTTATGTAGCTTTTGACAATTCCAGTTTCTTGTAGCTTTAATTTAACCATTCCAGCTTTGCTTTGAAGCTATTGACCATTCCAGATTTACTTTTTAGCTTTTAATCATTTCAGCTTTACTTTGTAGCTTTAATCATCCCAGCTTTACTTTGAAGCTTTTAGCCATTTCAGTTTTACTTTGCAGCTTTAAACCATTCCAGCTTTACATTGTAGCTTTTAACTATTTTAGCTTTACATTGTAGCTTTTAACCATTCTAGCTTTACATTGTTGCTTTTAACCATTCTAGCTTTACTCTGCAGCTTTAAACCATTCCAGCTTTACATTGCAGCTTTAAACCATTCCAGCTTCTTTCTAGCTTTGATTTAACAATTCCAGCTTTACTTTGTAGCTTTTAATATTCAAGCTTAACTTTGTAGCTACTACCCACTCTCCATTTGTGTTTGTGACGCTTCCAACCAAGAAAGGTAATGACTTTCTAATGCTGCTGTTATCCTTTTGTTCTATATACTTTCTGTTACTCGTATGCTCTATCACTATGATTCCTTCATTTACCAATGACGTCCACACATATTTACCTATGTTACTTTTCTTTTTCAACTAGATAGTGGCTTTTGTATTATTGTATTATGCAAACGTTCGGTGAAATTCCTGTTTTTTGTCCTTTACTTTAGATTGTGACTCTGCTGCATAAGTACTTCCTAATTTTGACATACTTATTGTCGGTAAAGTTTAGTATATTGCCTACTCACTAAATTTATTCATCCTACTCTGTCACATTTATTGTCATGATCAGTTAATCTGATGAATAATACGGATCTACTGTTATTTTAATTCCTATATTACCTTTTTATTGTCCGTAAGGTTGTAGAATATTATATTCATACTGAGATTATTAATCTCCGTTTACCTTGTTCCGCTTTTTAGCTCACCAGAGCCGAAGGCTCAAGTGAGCTTTTCTTATCAAAATTTGTCCGTTGTCTGTCGTCCCTGGCGTCGTCGTCGTTGTCGTTGTCATAAACTTTTCACATTTTTCATTTTCTTCTCAAGAACCACTTGGCCAATTTTAATCAAACTTGCCACAAAGTATTTTTGGGTGAAGGGGATTCAAGTCTGTTCAAATGAAGGGCCATGCCTTCTACCAAAGGGGGATAATTTGAATTATTGAAAAATTAATGGCATTTTGTAAAAATATTCTCAAGAAGCACTGGGCCAGGAAAGATGAAACTCAGTTGGAAGCTTCCTTAGGTGGTGTAGATTCAATGTCATAGGAAAAAAGTCAGTCCAAAAATAGTATGCATGCTTTGTGTAGATTCAATTTCGTTCAAAGCATGCCACCTCTCCCTTTTAGGAGTAGGTCGGGACCACTTATGCATTTTAGCTTTTTGAAAATATAGTGATTTCTTACTCAGTGCTCAAGTGAACTTTGTGGCCCCTGGGCCGCTTGTTACTTATATTGTACATGTGAATGTTTTTTCCATCACTGTTCATGTACAGTGTTGGCTTATTGGTATTTCTGCCCTTTCCTTATTCTTTTTCCTTTTAATCTTTAATATAAACTTACTGTTACTTTTTAGCTAACCTGAGCTGAAAGCTCAAGTGATCTTCTCTGATCATCCGTTCCGTCGTCCGTCGTCCGTCTGTCCGTCTGTAAACATTTCACATTTTCAACTTCTTCTCAAGAACCACTGGGCCAATTTTAACCAAACTTGATACAAAGCATCCTTGTGGGACGGGGAGTTCATATCGTAAAAATGAAGGCCATTGTCTCCCTACAAGGGGAGATAATAAAAAAGACAAAAATAGGGTGGGGTCATTCAAAAAATTTTCTCCTCAAGAACCACCGGGTCAGAAAACTAAATCTTATGAGGAAGCAATCTGGGGTAGTGTAGATTCTAAATTGTTAAAATCATGACCCCCAGGGCTAAGGGGGGGGGGCAACAATAGGGAATCCAAGTTTTACATTGAAATATTTAGGAAAAAAATCTTTAAATATCTTCTCCTCAAGAACTACTGGCCCAGAAAAGCTGAAACTTAGGTGGAAGTATCCTGGGATAGTGTAGATTATAAATTGTCAAAATCATGACCCCGGGGGCTACATTGAAATACACAAATTTTGACCCCCTAGGTGTAAGGTTGGGTCACAGTAGGTATTACAAAGGAGAAATTTGGTAAAGAATAGCATAGGAAAAGTTATTGTTAAAAGGTGAGCGATGTGGCCCATGGGCCTTTTGTTTGATTTTGCATTTTTAATATTTTTGATATATTGATGTGCTTAGCTACTACAACAACTACCCCCAAGCCGACAACAACCACGCCTAAACCGACAACAACCACTCCTAAACCGACAACAACCACTCCCAAACCGACAACAACCACTCCTAAACCGACAACAACCACTCCTAAACCGACAACAACCACGCCTAAACCGACAACAACCACGCCTGAACCGACAACAACCACGCCCAAACCGACAACAACTACTCCTAAACCGACAACAACCACTCCTAAACCGACAACAACCACTCCTAAACCGACAACAACCACTCCTAAACCGACAACAACCACGCCTAAACCGACAACAACTACTCCTAAGCCGACAACAACCACTCCCAAACCGACAACCACTCCCAAACTGACAACAACAGCGCCAAAACCACATTTTCAAACAGGTAACCAAAGAAGGACTGAAAATAAATTGTCTCGTTATTCATTTGAGTCCCTTTGGTAGTCCATTTGTTTCTGATTGTGTCTTCGTTTGTGGGGTTCAGGGTTCGAATAGGTCTTCAGTACCCCCTTGCTTGTCGTAAAAGGCGACTAAATGGGGCGGTCCTTCGGATGAGACCGTATAAACCGAGGCCCCGTGTCACAGCAGGTGTGGCACGATAAAGATCCCTCCCTGCTCAATAGCCCTGAGTGCCGAGCATAGGCCCAAATTTGCAGCCCTTCACCGGCAATGGTGACGTCTCCATATCAGTGAAATATTCTGGAGAGGGACGTTAAATAGTATACAATCGTATGTTGGTCGTCATGTGGGTTTTTCTACTTTTGTCAGGAAGCTTTATTGGAAATAATGGGAATTTTGGGGATATATATGATAAAAGTACTAACTGGTTGATACTTCAAAGAACCACTCAAGAAAAAAAAACCAACAACCCAGAGATGACAAACTTGGAAATTTCTAATGTGCAGATTTAGGTCTTATCAAAGTTTGACCCTGACTAATGGATGGAAGTAAACTTGTTCAATGTTCATTGAAGTTTTTGTAGAAAAAAAGTTTTCTTGACTGTTTAAATTTAATTCCATTCTCACAGAGCAAGAGGTCCTCTGAGTATGCTGCAAAAGAATATAGTTTTCCAAAGAACTACAAGATAGCAATTTTTCAATTTTTATTTAAACATTTTCATAAACCGAGGCATCAATTTAAATTCTGAGGTCCAGATTGGTTGAAGAAAGCAAACCAAGATGTTATCATAGGAAATTTATTAAACGGCGAATTATTTTTCAGACATAAAATAGAAAGAGGTTGCATGGGCGTGCATATAAAACTACATGAAATATATGGAGATAACGAACCGTACTCAAGCTCAAAAGTCCACTAAACAATATAAAATTGGAAAAGAGCAAACACAGACCTCCAAAACATCAGGGATGGAATCAGGTACCATGGTGGATTAAGCATCCCTTGCCGACGGGTCAAACTCTTCATGTGTTCCTTGTTATGATCGGGAAATAACGGAAAAATCCCTCGACAATTCAGTGTATAAATGATGACGTAACAATTAGAATGTCCAATAAAATTGGTGTTTTATTTTTAGCGAGATGTAATTTTAGCGATTTTGAAAACTTCACTAAAGAAGCTATTACAAATAAATAGCAATTAAATTTTAGCGATATTCAATTTAAGCGATCTCTTAACCCTCACTTCTTATGCCAAAATTAAATTAACCTAAAAATTCTGCTTATACGATGATACTTTTCAACTTCATACAGAACCATTCCCCGCGTTAAATTAAAGTCCAGGCCTTTTGATATTATTGACAGCTGCTTTTTCAATAAAAATAAAACTCGTAAATTTACTAACGAGTACTTGGTCATTTTCAAAATTATTTTGTTAAAACTCGTTCTTATTGCGCACACAAGTACTCTGAAGTTGACATATAAAGATGCTTGAGTTTCTGATTAACAATATCTATGTGGTTTTTGGAGATCAGGTCATCAAAAAATCCATTGGAATTCCTATGGGTACTAATTTTGCTCCGTTTTAAGCAGACCCATTTTTGTATTCATATGAAGTAGAATTTATGCAAAATCTTATGCATGAAAGAAGAAAACACTTGTTGTGGCCTTCAGCTTAACATTTAGATATATCAACGACGTATTTTCAATTAACAATGGTAACTTCCAGTCTTTTGTCGATACAATATATTCTGGTGAGCTTTAGATGAAAGATACCACAGAGTCTGAATCTGTTTCATACTTGGATATTCTACTTGAAAAAGACGTTAATGGTAACCTAACTACCAAGTTATATGATAAACGTGATTTCTTTAACTTTTCTATCGTCAACTTCCCATACTTATGCAGTAATATACCTTTCATCACCTGCATACGGCGTTTATATATCTCAGTTGATTCGATATGCAAGAGCATGCTCTACGTATGAACAATTTCAAAAACGAGGTAAATTATTGACAAACAAGTTGCTGAAACAAGAATATCAGCAGTCTCGTTTAAAGTAATCATTTCCTAAGTTCTATGGTCGATACAATGATTTTGTCAGCAAATACAATTCATCATTGCGTCAAATGCTGACTGACGTTTTTCACACCAATTGTTAATCCATTATTTATATTGACGACGACTTTCCCGTAATTTCTGGATCATGACATAGAGCAAACGGCGGGTGTGACCGGTTGGCAGGTGATGCTCACTCCTCCATGGCGCCTTATCCCATCTCTGATGTTTTAGAGGTCCGTGTTTGCTCAGCTCCTATTTTGTATTGTTTTATGGACTTTCATATTGAATACTGTTGAATACTGAAAACTATTTCCATATCCTTCACCTTTGATATATATATATATATATACGTTTTACGTAAACCGTATTAGAAAAATCTTCAGATAAACGTATTTAGTAAAGGAAAATGGAAAATTGTCAAACACATCCCGAAAGGGAAAAATTAAAGATTATTCAAATATGAAACAGACCTATCAGAATCTGTATTATCTTGTTTTTCAAAATTACTGGTTTTATGGAGATGAGAGAAAGTTACTATTGCTAATTGATACAAGTAATTCATCGTCCATATCCATATATATAAATGACGTATTACAGGACATATAGGTTTTTCTTCTCTTTATTTGTAAGTCTTTGAAAACATTCTGCTTCATATAAGATGCAAGATTTCATCATCCATCTGAAAACCTTTTATCCATTCTGAGAAAGTATCAATGTCTTTCTTATTTAGCCCAGGGTTTGGCGTAATCTTCCACAGAATTCATAATATATATGGACTTATTAAACTAGCATAAAAATAATCAGGGTTCCCTAATTTTTTGCCCTCCTCAAAATCAGTGATGTTACAATTTCAACAACCTTTTTAAAGCTGATCCACCTCTTGAATCTCGGGGATTTTGGGATGTGTTTTTAATGCACCGTTTACAGATTTGTGTTGTTTATAATTGTTGTTTTTTAGATTGATCATTGATTGTTATTTTCACTTTTTAATTATACAAAATTTTCACCTTTAAGTTAGACTGCTTTCAAATTTATGCATTTTAAAGAAATGTTTCTCATTGTAGCCACTTGTGAAGACCAGGACCCTTTTTGTAACACGTATTCTCTGGCAATTTGTAAAACGGACCCGGTATGGGCGTCTGGTAGTTGTAGAAAAACCTGTGGACTTTGTCAGGGTAAGGCATTTTACATTATTCAATTCTCACTTGCTTTGCCCTTGCATTACTCTGAACTCTTAATTGCAAATTATGCTTTTATTGTGCTTGCTGCTTAGATTGACAAAATCATTTTTGATACCCAAATGTGCTGCACAATGCACAAATCCAATACAATGCAGAAATTCCATTCAATAAAGATCCTAAAACTATACAAGAAAATATTAAACACCTGTAGAAACGAATTTCGTTTCAGGCTTTCTCCTATCATCTCACATCGTGCCTTAAACTTTCTTTTGCACCAATCACTCAAAAGTTAAGACCAATGTTATACAAACAAAAGTCAAATTCTAAGGTCAAGGTCACGAAGTTAATATGTTTGTACCCAAGGAAAGGTTTTGTCATAAGGGGTAAACATTCATCAACTACACAAAAGATAATACTAATGTTAATGTTGTGATTTTTTTAATGTTCTGAAACCTGTAATTTTCATATATAATACTTTCAATATATATTTCCCGCTTGTGCGTCACGGTGATCTTTTAACTATAAATATGCTTTCTGGAAAGCGACAGGGTGTCAATGTCTCCAAGCTGATTCGATACGCATGGTTTGCCTGCGAATTATATCCAAACCGAAAGTAGTTACTTACAAATAAGACAAATGTGTCAGATGAATTACCAGACTCATTTCGCAATTTCTTTGGTTTAATACCATGGCCATCTTGTATTGGTACCTTTTGATAGCTAGAATTTGATTGACGCATTGAATAAAAATTGTTAGATTCAATATATAAAAGGTAGTCCGATCCTCAGATTTATAAAATTAGCAGTTAAGGAATCAAAAATACTCATTAAAGTATCTCTGAATCCACAAAGGTATGCAATTCTATCCACTGTATTTCTTTAAAGTTAAAGATTACAGTTGATCATATTACGTAGGGAAAATTGTTAAATCTCCAATATTTTTGAATTGGAATATCAGCAATGCATTTTCTAATTGCAAATTAATCAACATATATATTTTAGTTTAAAAACGATAGGTATCCAGGCATTCAGAAAAATTGTCATGATTTTTATACTATTTGGTATTTTTTGCATCTGATTTGCTCATATATAAATAAATGTTTAAAAGGCTTTTTATATGCAAATATACAAAAATAAACTTAAAGATTCAAAGGAGATGTTTACATTGATGCATTTCTTATGTGTCTATTTAATAATTGTATATGTGTTTATATGAATATAAATTTCGCAGCTTTCTCCTCTCCATTCCATCACCCCGTGTTTGTCAAATTCCAATGAGTCCAGGTATTTTCCTGTCTCTCTATGGGCATCCAAACCCACTTCTATTTCCTTTACAGCTTTGGGTTAATAGAACGCCTTGATTTAACATACATTGTCTTCTTGCACACTTATTTTTGCTTTTTGAATTTTAAAATACTAGTAAATACAGTAATTATACAGTTTTTAAGAGCATTTTTTGAATTTATGAAAATCAAAAATAAACTCTTTTAGGTACACCGGCTACGACAAAACCAACAACGACACCAAAACCGACAACCGCTAAAGGTAGGCTTGAATTTTTTTCTACAACTTTCTAAAACGAAAACTTAAAATTTATCAGTTATAATATTCGTACGGATTTTAATTCTTCCATTCAAGCAACTCCACAACGCCATCACTATGTCACAATAAGAAGCATTGTTGGAGAGAAAGGAGGTGGAATTTCAAAAATAAAAGTTTGATAGCAAGACAATTTTCCTTGTTTTTACCGTGTATTTACGGACACCCTCTATAATGTTAACCACCCATCTGTCACTTTTGACTTTTCTTGAGGAAAACAATGGAGACCAAAAACAGTTTTTAGAGTATTTGCTGTAGATTCACAGAGTAAGGCGTTCATCCTTTTGTCGCTGGTTTAATTCCACTGTGGGACGTAAGACACGACCTTAAAGGAGACCGAATGAATCGAGGTCCCCTGCTGGTTGTGCGTTAATTCTTTTGCTGCTCGAAACCTAAGTACAGAGTACATGTCTGGATCTGCAGCCCTACACAAGCAAGTGAAGTTCTTTGCAAGTTTAACTCAATATGAGTTATAACTCGCAAAGAAACACCTCTTAATTGAACACAATGCAAAATAATGATTGACCGATTTTGCGTTTAACCTCTCATAGGACAGAGATCAGTTCGATTTCTAGTAGAATCTGCAGTTCATGGATTTATGCGTCTGAAGCCTATATCCTACTTAGATTAAGTTCTCCATTAAATTAACGTTATTCAATATCAGGTTAATTTGTTAAAAGTGATCTTTATTAGCAATTGTCATCATAATCTGCTCTTTCTAGTAAGCTACTGAACATCATTTTAGCTTTTTATGCTTGTTTCATAAGGCTATACTCTTAAAGTTGATCAATTTCCTGTTCAGTCACTTTCACTTAGTTAAATTCATATAAACCCTTCTTTCTCTGATGGACAGAGCATTTTGTTTATTCCATCTTAATTTAAAGCCAAATACTGAGATTGCTTTGAGTGAAATTCTGAATATAGTTAGGAAGAAATCAGACCAGTAAAAAGCGATCATGTCAAAAAGCAAAGTTCTCGAATATTACTGACGAGGAAATGTTCCCTGACGATCTGCCAATATGTAAAATATAAGGAAATGATTCCTTAATTCTCGATATCCAACGGATCTAAATGATTTGGTACAAAACCCACAAAACATTTTCTTGGACAAATGTACATACTGTGAATCCGGTGTTTTAGGTTAACCAGCTCTGATATTTATTTTCTAATAAACTGTGTTTGGACGGTTTAGAAAATAAAACTCACAGAAAACTAAGTTCTCTGTATAGAAAATTCATTGATTTTAGGTCTCCTTTTTCTTAAACGTCGTCCATCACTAGATTTTACTGGCTCTCAATTTTTAATGAGCGATATATTCTGGGGGCTCCGTCACAGCAAATGAGATTATCAGTGAGGCAATATTGTTTCAGTGTGTGAGTTGACTATTGCTCATGTAAAATGTCACACCTCTTATTTAGAACCACTAACGTTATTGCTAGTCTGTCGATATATGGACAGACTCGATTACTTTACTGGGAACAAGAACAAAATAGCGTTAGAAGAATGGTCCTCTTTTAAGGGTGTTTTTGCATACATTGTCTCAATTGGGCTTTAACATTACAACTTCACATAGAGTGATAGTCTCTGTATCTTCATATTAATAAACAATGATGCTTAAAATCTGGAGAACTGTAAAAAATATTCATTTTTTTTTCTGCATTCGATGTTATTTTTCGATCTGTTATAGTACTGTTTTGGGTGATGTGTTTTGAAAAACCTTAAATATGTAAAGTAAATTTTTGCAATTAATTACTTTAAAAATGTATCGCTCATAGCAAAATTGAGAAAATACGCAAACAATATTGAAAGTGTTTCATAAAATGAACAAATTACTTTTTGCAAAATATAGGTAATTACTATTTTACTAATACAATGATATTCTTTGGAAGAAAAGCAAGTCATTGTATTACAAAATTTTTTCTTCATTTAATAAAAATGTATGACATTATGCCAACATCTGCACTTCAAAATTGCAAGCACATCCAACAAACAATTCAATGCACATACAGCAAGAAAAATAATTTAACAAAAATGAAAGCTTGTAATATCAAAAAAGACTATATGCAAATCAAATAAATGCATAAAATCAGACAAAACTTTCCATATATGATTTAGGCATGTCGTCCTCACTCAGGTGCACGACACACCCTTTAAGGGGAGTGACATGATGACGTGTTTCCGGTTCTCCGTACCCATGCACTGTGTGAGAGACGCCATTTGTCTCCATATGAAATTGCCGCTTCCGGTAAATGTCAAATAGTCTCCGGATGATGTCTGTTACCATCACAGTATTCGTATTAGCTGTGATCACCTTCAGAAGAAAAATGCCATCTAATCGTAGATAGTTTTCTACAAATTGTTTTGTTAATTTCTGTGTGAATAAATCCTTATTTTTATCGTCATAAGCATCAATGAATTTAAGATACTTCTTAATGAAGCTCTTACGGTTATTTGGTACAGCAATTAGAAGTATAGAGTAGAGCACGTTAAATAGGGTCAGTATCGCCACTATGGTGATCCAAAACCAAAGGAAGATGAAGAATTTTTCGTTATAGAGATTCACTGGAAGAACACATTGTAAGGTCCAACGTTGAACATTGGTCATTTGACGGAGATCAAAGTCGCATAAAGTTACCCTTGGAAAACGGTGTGTTCTTGTCCAGTCATTTTCTGTCAAAATGGACTGAACCACTTCGTATCCATATATATAGAACTTATCACTTCCCAGAAACTCGTTCAGGAAGAAAAGCTGTCCAACAGCATTTATAAGGAATAGGCATTTAGTAAACAAACAAAGGAATACTAAATAGTTCCCATAGTGTCGCCCAATACCTAATCCAAAGTACGTGGCGACTTTTGAGCGGTGGCTAGGGAAACATCCCGCGCGATGATGGGCTGTCTTGCTCATCCACAAGTCGATGAATTTAGCCACCGAGTGAAGTTTCTTTTCGCGCTCTTCTGGCGTGTCATTTTGTGTCGATTTGACTAAGTCTATCATCTTTTTCAAACCTATCCCAGAATGGGTGTAAGCGAAATACTTCCATATATTCCTTGGCATTTTGAAAAGAAATGCCATTAACAGAAGGATTAGCGGAACCCATTGATAATACGTTATTTCATCATTTCTTCGAACCTCATAGTTAGCTGGAATCTGTTTTGAGAATGGGATATGGTAGGTGTTGGACACCCAACATACAAAGTTTGTGTAATCAACCTCGTTTTCAGTAAATTCAGTGGGACAGAAACAATGGATAGGGTCTCCAACATACTCATTTGTTGCCACGGTGATTTGCATAAACAAAAGAAAGATAACTGTGTAGTAATGACTAAGTCGGTCAATGTAATTGTCGTCGTGAACTGATCGAATTCCTTCGTACACCCCCACGGGTCCCAAAATGTGGTCCAATCTGGAAAATATAAAAATAACATTTTCTTAATTCACTCACTTATAATAAATATAAAGAAAAATCCTGGATCAAAATCTTTCAAAATACAGTTTCTGCTTGCCTGTTGCAAACAAATTTACATCTTTTAAAAACACCTTAACATTGATTCCGTCACTTGACAACGTCATTTGACGTGTGACGAAAGCAGTCATTCCATATTACGGAAAAGTAAAGTCAGTATTAAAGGATATTGAGATGAATCTGATTATGTTCCATTGTTTTCAGATGATTTATCTGAATTTAATTTTTTGTGGTGTTATCAAAATGAAATTTTACATTGTTTTATGCTTTAATCTAAATGTAATGTTACGAGATTTTATGTAAATTTTTATTCGAATATCTTTAATACCGATATAACTTCTTATATTTAGCATCTACATTTTTTGTTTATTTCGAAAATTTTACTACGTGAGAAGCTAGACTACATCAAATTCTGAATGAAGTCGTTCGTATAGATATGATTATCATAACATGTTTTCTTAAAGATATGTAGGTTTTTAAAATTCAAGATAGAGGTTGACAGAGAAGAGACTCAAAATAACCTTATTTTGTTCCATAGTTCTTAATACTAGGAACAATAATCCATAAAGAATGATTAAGTATTATTTTTTGTCCTTTATGTAAAATTTGAGCCCATTTCCTACATCCATAGCAATGCAGTACATCTACACTTCAGTAAGTGATCTGTGGTTCTGTTTTATCAGTGTTTATTTAATGCTTATTTTATTGTTAACATGGAGCTTGTTACTCGGTTAAGGGTCTTGCGTTATGGATCGTTTATATTTGTAAAATATAATCCAACAGAGTGCACCCTTCCACTTCTGTTGCTCAGCCCTTTTACTTTTAAAATTGCTGAACACATTGAGCAACAAAACCAAGTGATTCCCAAATTATGGTTTAAGCAGCAAAAGAAGTATACAACTAACTCTCTCTGACACCTCATTACATGAACCATCCGTTTCTTCAAAAAAACATATCTGTCATCGAACTGACATAATGATTATAAGAAACATGCTTAATTTATCAAGCAGTACACATATCTTATACAGTTAAAAATTTTCACGTAAACCTTTGGGTTTCTTAACAAAAAAGTTGGAATACATTTTATGCAATTCATTCAAGAAAGACTCCAAGAAGTAGAGATCATCACAATGTATTGTTATAAAATAACTAAGGTCATTATCAACAATTGGGGACAAAAATCACTGTGGAGTACTTACAAAGTAACGAGAGGCATGGTTTACATTTGGAAAGTCATCCATTTAAAACAATACATGAAGCATCACCATTTGGTTCCGTAAGGAAACCCAATCCATCGATATTTGTTTACACATGGAAGCGGGGTTCGATCGCCGCTAGCTTTGTCGGCCATGTCTTAGAGTCATGAGTTCACAGCTCAGTGATCCTGCTCGTTAATTCCAATACTACTAGGCAGGAGATTAATTAAGTGATACCCAATTACTCCTGTATAATTGTACACTTGTTAAGATAACAATACATATATGATGTGGGATTTAAGACAAAGGATCCACAATTAATAAAGATTTAAAGAGCCACAATTGTCTTCGGCTGGCAAACCTACGCTTTGAATTAATTTTAGGTAAAGATATTCTAATCTGAATGATATCTTGAGCAAGCCTGTTTGATGTCACTACACCTTCTGTTTTTCTAAGGATGTTTGGAAGAATTTAAAAATATTTATCTCTAAATTTAATTAAAATGAGTACAGGGCCTATATCATGAGTCACTGATTCCCGCCATTCTCTTTAGTATTTACAAATACATTTCCTCATCAAATAATCTATTTTAAAAAAGCTATGTTGTTTCTGTGGATGTAAATACTAGTAATCAAATGAAAAATCATTTTGATAAAACTTTGTACTTTATTTGGCATATAATTTTTCATTTGCTAATTATAAATGTTACTCAACATGGCCGATCTTCTTTCCATAAGATTTCTTAGTTACTTCCCTTACGCCAATCTAAACTTTTCAATTTGGAATATCCCTTGTACGATTTAAAAAAAAAGTCAAATAGAACAAAGGATATTGAAAAGTGCAGATAGTAAATAGTTAAAAAAAATATAAGCAGAAAAGTACATGAACTCGAAATGCCGTTTGTCTAAGAGGTCAATTAAAGTTTATGTAGGTCTAGTTTGAACGTTGTCCATTTTCATTTTTATTTTCAGTGCTATCGAATAGCACTTTAAAATAAAATTCAGGAAAAGAAAAGAAAAATAAACAAGGAAAAAGATTAAAAAAAATAAAAGAGAAAGTCAACAAAACTGTCTTTACAAGCATCTTTTTGCTTTTAAATGAGAAATATTCATGGAAGTTATTAAGATGTGTCATCTCTACTAGTATTTCTAAATATTACAAAATCGAAAAAGGAAGGTTCATTTCAATTGATAAACAAAGAATCTGTTTATCAATCAGAAACAATTTGAGGATGTACTTTTAAATATATCACAGAAAAAATATTAGGTTGAAGTGCAGATCTTTTACAACTCATTAGTATTAATCAGGTTAATTCGTGCAAAGGGTCGTTTAAATTGGAAGGGATTTAAATCACAAAGACTGCATCTGGGTTTTTGGATCATGGCTAATCGACTTCTTGTTATGATAAAGATGACTGGGGAACAGAACAACGTGTAAGGAGACAGTAAGTTATATTTGCACTAGAGTTATAAACCACGTTACTTACATTTTCTTAATTGTAAATCAAGAAATGCACAACGTAAAATTCTAAAATTACTCATCAAAAATTACAAAAGAAGGGTTACATTTCTTGATTACTTTTTCAATAAAGGAATGTAAATGGTATAGTTTCAGAAGACTTTTTTTCAAGAAATTATAAAATAAGGTTTAAATTTACAAAACAAAAAGATATTTTAATTCATAATCCTATAGATATTGCGACTACTATAGTTCTAACACTGACTTTAAAAATACTATTATGTAACAAAACTAGTTATCATATTTTTCTACATGAAGAACACACTAATTAAATGAGTATATTGTAACATATTTTCATAATTTTCTTGTCATAATAGTTCCTTAAAAATTGAACAATTACAATCATGAAAATAACAATTAATGGCACATTATGTTCCTTGTGTTGTGCATGTCCATTCCAGTTTAGATTGTTTTTCCAACCCAAAGAAAAATCAACGTCTTCTCAAGGGTGAAGATAACGGACACTAAATATCCAGTTTTTAAAAATTTAAACCAAGTTTTCATCATTGTACAATGCTTTTGCTATGTCCACATTTTTTCTCTCTCTACTGCCTCAAATTTCAAACTTTTTGGCATAGGCATCAACTATTCTCGAATACGTTCGTGAAATGACATTTTTGATGATTGGTTCCGTTTACATGATCAATACTCAGGGCTCACAGAGGCGTGACCGGTCAAAAGGGGATGTTTACTTCTCTTAGGCACTTGAACACACCTCTGGACTTTTCAGAGGTCCGTGTATTATGACCCCTTAATATCTGTGAAGTAATTTTTCTTAGATCGATATTTCCACTTAAAAAAATATTCAAAGAAAGGGAGGAAATTTGAGAGCTGATCGTTTGTCAGTAAAGGATATAAAATGTTTTCGTACCTGGTGTAATAAATATACCATAGCAATATTTTGATTACTTTGATTACATGTTTATCATGAAGTAGAGTTGTTCGAAAAAGTGTCCTGTTTTTCATTTATATGTCAATCAATTTCCTTTTAATGTTTGAAGTCTTTGAGTGAATCATTGCGTGTTGCATGACAACTTTTCAGTTCTTGCTTTATTTCTTAAAAAATAGGTTTATTAAGGCAGACTTTGTAAATCATTTAATAAAGTTTAGGACTTTATTTCAAATAATATGTAGACAATTTAAAATCGTGACTTTGGTCCTTTTTGATCTTGTAAAAAGTACCATAAATGTGAACCCAGTAGTCGAAAACTTTACGAACAAATTGATATTCCCTCTGATATCAAGGGTGTAATTGTAATTTACTTTTCTTATATACGAGGGGTGTTAGAAAAGTTCGCGGACAAGTTCTATTGTGAGCGCGCTATTTCCACGAAACCGGTCAAACTTTCCAGATAAAATCTTAACCTATTTTCCAATAAATATACAAAAATTTGGTGCTCTCCGATGATCATTGAAAAATATACGGCTTTTTTATTTTGATAAATCTTGCTTCACGGAGCATGCTCCATTTTGGCACGTTTACATTACAAAGAATCTTTATTAAAATAAAAAATTGAACAATTGTAGTGCAAAGAGATTTATGATATTTTACCTATCGCTAAAGTATACATGAAACGTCACTTGGAGAAATTTTGAAATAAATTGGAGGGTATATGACTGTTTTATAGCCATTTATAAATGATCAACACGTAAAAACACAGCCAAAAATCGGAACGTCATTGAGCGTCATGGAGCACTGCACTACGTAAAATTATGTGTGTAGATAGTGAAATGTCTAAAAAGAGATTAAAATTTTCAAGATGCTGCCGGGAATTTCCTACACACACAGAGGACAAAAATTTTCAAATGGTTGTGACTTCATATAAATGGAAGGATTAACATTTTGAATGATTAACTCAATCGATACTTCAATGCCCTCTTATCGCATGGACGTTTTGCCTATATGGTTTTGCATAGTTTTCATACCTGATCAATTTACTGCATAGACGATTTTAAAGATCTCAAAAATATCAGAATCAATACACTGGGCCAGAAAAGCTAAAACTTATGTGCACAAAAGACATTATAGATTTAGAAAGGTAAACATGTCTTGATATAGATATTCAATTTTAAAGTAGAAAAAAGATAAGAAAAATCCGAGAAAGGGAAAGTACTGCGTCAAAGCATAACGGATTTGAAATCTGGTTGTCACGTCGCCTTACGTCAAGGGATTGCTCCGTGAATCCTATAACCTCATAGTAAAAATCGTTGTAAATTTTCAAGATTTTAAAAGTGGGCTTTTCTGACTTTTTTGGCTCTAATAAACAAAATGTAGGAATTTACTTTAATCTTGGATTTTATAGTTGGTAATTCCAATACTTCACAGTGGAAAAAAAAACAGATGAAAACACGTCCGATATATTCAATGTGTGGAAGGCCGCAATAAGTGTTTTATTCTTTTTAACAACCCATATGAAGTACATTTTTCAGTAATTGAACGATTTTGTAATTGAGTTTACTTTCTACGGAAGCGTATAAGTGCCACGTAATTTTTTTTCAAGTTGGCCTTTCCAGCATTAATCTTGGCTTTTCAACTGAAATGATATGGACAATTCCAACTGAAAAAAATTGTTTTCAACTTTTGTCTATTTTTTCCAACTTTAATCTTTGCTTTTCTAACTTTAAAAGTTGACTTTTCTAACTTTAAATTTGGCTCTTCCAACTTTAAAGTTGCCTTTTCCAACTTTAATCTTGGCTTTTCCTATTTTATAGTTGGTAATTCCAATTCTAATCTTGACTTTTCCAAACTGTTAGTTATATATATAACTGATATTTTATTTCGCTTTTGGTTATTCTACCAAATAAACATTGTTGTCGTATGTCTTAAAATTTGATATCTTTGATTGTAGGAATGTGATATAATTAACAACAATAGAATTACTTGAATTACTTACGTATGATGTTTAAACAATGAGAATGCCATAACATTTCCACAGGGTTCACGTCACATTTTAATGAACTAATGAAATGTTTTCAAAAATGTCTCGAAAAGACAGACAAAATGAAGGTTTCCTCATGCTTCGATTCACTTCTTTGAAACCCAGGTCCATTTTTGAGGACAAGTTTTTCTCTTTTTTCCTCGACACAACAGAATTATGAATACTGTCTACCCCCATTAATTGTAGCACGACATACTGTAACCCTGCCTCCTATTTTACGCTTGACTATGATGTAATAAACAAACGAACATGTTCCACCTGGTCATTATTAGGGTGTTCAATGATGGTTTGGAGGATATTACTTATGAAGGTAACTGCAAACATCTTTTCAAGACGTCTTGTATTGTTAATTCTAGTCTCGATTGAAAGCAGTAAACGACAAAATGAAATGTTCTTCTCCCGAGATATTCATTGCTACAGAAGCCCTGATTATGATGTAATCTTATTTGTCACACATTGAGGTGTCAAACCGAACCTTGTATGACATTCTATTCCATCATAGTATACCTTACGTCTAGATACATTGAATTTTCACCAAATTTAGAAATAAGTCACGCTAATTAAATAAAAGAATTCATTACATTATATCATATCATTTTATTTCCTATTCAAATACACATTTAATTGAACTTTAAGATTGCATGTGAATCTCATCTTTAGGTACTGCAAACACGCAAAAGACTTCTTAAAGGGGTTTGTTTTGTCAGCTAAATAACAACTGATAAGTCCATTCTTTAAAAGTCGACCAGTTTATTGTACAACATTCATGATGAGTCGCTCCTGTATGTTGAGGTTTTTTCCAGTACATGTATGTATCCATGGTAGGAATTGTAAATTTTTAAAAGCACATTTACTTCAAAAAAATTATTGATATCGAATATGACAGGAATTTTTTCATCATCCTAATTTTTCCATAGGTTCCTCGAAGACAGGCAGACATTTTATTATGTAATCAAGCAGAA